GCGTCCCCCCGCAGCCGGGCGCGTCGGCGGCGCCGGCGTCCTGGCGGCCGAGTCTCCAAGGACCAGCTGAGCGTGACCGTGACCTCTAGACGCCTGAGGTTGCGAGTTCGGCCCCCGCAAAAGTGCAGCACGCCTTGCGGCCCGCTCCGACCGCCGCCCTTCCCCAGCAGCACCCCGGTCCACCTCGGCCGGGACCTCAGCGTCTGCAGCCAGCCCAAGGACGACGACGAGCTGGGCACCAGTGCCTCCCTGTTCAGCCTTCTGGCCTCGCCTGGCCCCGGGCCACTGGCGCCAAGGAACAGCATCATCTCCACCGGCCCCTCCATCTCTCTGGATGATGCCCCGACTGGCTCCCACTTGCCCGCCGCTTCCCTGGACCAAGCATCTGCCCCCTGTTCCCCGGCGGCAGCAACAGGAGGAGGTAGGTTAACCAGAATGGTCCACCAAGCCCGTGCTGGCCTCAGTTCAGCTCTTGCTAGCCTTATGGACTCAGGAAACCCTGAGAAGTCTGAGTTTGGGACAGATGGAAAGACTGTGAGGGAGCCCTGCTGTGAAAGGGAAGTGGTGGTTAACAGACAGGAGGGCCTGGGTAAGAGGAGGACTGCAGGCAAGGACTCTTGTCAGAAGAGTGGGCCTGGAGGGGCTAACCCCATAAAATGTGAGGAGGACAATGGTTGCAATGGCTGTATTGTATCCGGGGAAATCAACAGACCTGAGAGAACTAGGCCAAGCCGCAAAAGGAAGCATCAAGAGGCCATGGAAACCTCTCTCCTGCATTTCCAGCAGTTTAAAAAGGGCCAAAAGATGGTGAAAGATTCAGTCGTCAACCAAGATCTGACTTGTTTACAAAATGTCCGCTCATGGACCAAAACCAGGGCCTCCTTCAGTTTCCACAAGAAGAAAGTTGTGACTGATGTGTCAGAGGTGTGCAGCAGTTCTCTCTCTGGATCCTTCCTATCAGAATATTCAAACCTTTCTGTCATAAACAGAACAAACGGTACTCTGTCCCCTCGGCACTCCTCTTCTATGTATTTATTAAGCCCCTTAAAGACTCTACACATTGCCGACAAAAGGGCATCTGATGCTGAGAAGGTTTATGGGGAATGCAATCAGGAAGGTCCTGTCCCCTTTAGCTATTGCTTTCCCACGGAAAGACTGGAACACTGTGAGAAGATTGGGGAAGGGGTGTTTGGTGAAGTCTTTCAAACGATTTCTAATCACACACCAGTAGCCCTAAAGATCATTGCTATTGAAGGACGAGATTTAGTTAATGGATCCCATCAGAAAACCTTTGAGGAAATCCTACCAGAGATCATCATCTCCAAGGAGCTAAGCCTCTTATCTGATGAGGTGTGCAACTGCACACAAGGCTTTATCGGGCTGAACTCAGTGCACTGTGTTCAAGGATCTTACCCTCCCTTGCTCCTCAAAGCCTGGGATCACTATAACTCAATCAAAGGGTCTGAAAATGACCGTCCTGATTTTTTTAAGGAAGATCAGCTCTTCGTTGTGCTGGAATTTGAGTTTGGAGGGATTGACTTAGAGCAGATGAAAACAAAGTTGTCCTCCATGGCTACTGCAAAGAGCATTCTACACCAGATCACAGCATCTCTTGCAGTGGCAGAGGCATCACTGCACTTCGAACACCGAGACTTACACTGGGGGAATGTGCTACTAAAGAAAACCAACCTCAAAGAGCTCCACTACACCCTCAATGGGCAGACCAGCACCATCCCCACCTGTGGGCTGCAAGTCAACATCATTGACTATACCCTGTCACGATTGGAGCGAGATGGGATTGTGATTTTTTGTGACATTTCCAAGGATGAGGACCTGTTTAAAGGTGAAGGTGACTACCAGTTTGAGATTTATAGGCTGATGAGGAAGGAGAACAACAACTGCTGGGGTGAATATCACCCTTATAATAATGTGCTTTGGTTACATTACCTCACTGATAAGATTCTGAAACAAATGACATTCAAGACTAAATGTAATACCCCTGCCATGAAGCAACTGAAGAAAAAGATTCAGTATTTCTATAGGACGATGCTGAATTTCAGCTCTGCCACCGACCTGCTCTGCCAGCATAGTCTATTTAAGTAAGCCAGTTGGGTATTCCAAACTGAGAGGGCAGTGGTTTTGAAGCCTCTGTTGGTGTTTTCAGTCTCCATCCCCAGAGCAGAGTGGAGTTTCCATTCTTACATGTTTCCAATCAACTTTTCAAACAAGAATTTTGTTTCCAAATGGAAACTAAAATATTCATTGAAATGTTTAAACTTGCTGTGAACAAATGTTCTTTAAAAATAAACTACATATAAGAACAAGTTTTTAGAGTGTATAAACCCTTTTTTCTAATTGTCAGTGAAATTCTTTCTGCAAATTCTGTATTTTCTTTTTCTTTTTTTTTTTTTTTTTTTGAGAGGTTTTTGGAAACAGGCACATGTGCTTGTCAGAAAGATATAAAGACACAGTGAGACAGAAAGTGAGAAATCACCCCCCAGGGGGATGGTCACGCCACAATCCCTTCTCCATTCTCCTCTCGAGAGCTTGGGCATGCACTCACACCTGCCCAGCGTGAGTTCTAAGCCACTGGGTCCGGGACGCGAACCACGGTCGACTATGTGGGAGTCCAGCGACACAGCCATTACGCCATCTGCTGGTCCCTCTGCATTTTCATTTTTGAGCCTTGATATTTTATGTAGCCTGAGGTGTTGGGGTATCAAGAAATCTGAGCTGTATCCTGGGTTCTATTGCTTTAGTTTCTTTTTTTTTTTTTGGAGAGGTTTTGGCTGCAGGGAGGACGGTAAGACTAGAGACAGAAAGCGAGAAATCACCCCCCAGGGGGATGGTCACGCCGCAATCCCTTCTCCATTCTTCTCTTGGGATCTTGGGCATGCACACACACACGCCGGGGGTGAGTTTTTTAAGCCACCGGGTCCGGGACGCACACTGTGGTCGACTACGTGGGAGTCCAGCAACATAACCATTATGCTAACTGCTGGTTCCCCTATTGCTTTAGTTTCAAGGCTGCCTTTAGGAACCAGACCACAGGTGAAGAGTCAACTGAAAGCAAAGAGGCTATCACAAAGCAAAGACTAAAAAGAGACAGATTAGAGAGCGGGAAAAGGAAGATAGTGACAATTTATAGGGGGAAGTGTGAGATACATGTCTGTCAAACTTGTCAATCACATAGAGGAGCAGAATTTATCAGTTTTAAAAGGGAAAATGTCTCCATTAAAAAGGTTTCTATTTTTGCTTATTTTTCAAGGGGAGGAAAACGTTGCTTTAAGATTGAATGTTATTTCTTCTGAACATGACTTTGGTAATTTACTCCTGATGTTTTCTCATGGCTAACTAATATTGGTTTTACTCCTTTTCTAGAACTCTGGTTTTTATACCTTTAAGAATCCATCATCATCTCTCAAAAAAAAAAAAAAAAAAAAGACTCCATCGTCTCTCTGGAAAGAGGTATATTCATTAGAAAGAACCACCTTTAAGTACCTGAGTCTTTGTTAGGTTCTTCATTTTCACAATCTGGAGACCTTGTAATTTGATTGGAACACAAATCTGTAACTGGAATTCTGCTCCAAAGAGGTTTTCCCCATGAATCTGTAAAGTAAAATCAGAGAATAAGAAGCCAAAAGCTAGTATTGCTTTGCCACCTGCAATTTTTCAATAACAGGCACTAAGCACTTACACTGAAAAGGAATTCTTTGTGGTCAGAAAGCACCTGGCTTGTGTTCATGTACATTACCGATGGTCTGCAATGGAAAAGAAGTGTGTCAGACCTCAAGGTCCCCTCCCCATTTTGAATGAACCTGAATGCTATCAATTAGATACACTAGGACAGAGGGCACCAGAAATCAAAGCTCAATGTCAAAATGTTAAGTAGTTATAGGGTAGTTGGGATGTGCTGGAATATTCGAATTCTGTAGAGTTAGGCTGTTTTGTTTTTTGATGGTCACGCTTCAGAATGGCCTTTTCACCCTTCCCAATCCCATAGCTCCTGTCCTCCCTCCTTAGCATCATGTCAGTACCCTTTTGTAGCAAGACCAGCGAACGCTACTCCTTTCATAATCACTGTAGGGTTTCTGGGACTCCGCTTTTAGTGCCTTAGAGTTCAGTGTTAAAGCCCAGGTTCTAAAAAGTTTCCTCCAGAGAAGAATATTGCCCACATCTGCCCTGACCACCGGTTCCATCCACAAGAGAATGCCTGAAGCTTCCCTGAGGCATGACAGTTACACTGGTGTGAGCCCCTGGGGAGTACTTACTTGGAAAGAGCTGCAATGAAAGCATGCCTGAATTGAAGGCTGTGGGTCTCCGTGGCCAAAGACCTTTTTTCATTGAGACTAGGAATAAGAGTTGTTAGTTCACAATCGCACACCTGCTTGTACATAACAATTGTTTCTGAACATTGGTTTATAGGGGGTCAGATAAGAAAAGACTCTCAGGGTACTAGCAGGTGGCTTGGTGGTCAAGGCACTGGACTCCCACATAGCCAACCGTGGTTTGAGTCCTGGACCTGGTGGCTTGCTTTCCTACTTTACTTCTCTCTGTCTCTCTCTCTGGTGAGTACATGTGCCCTATAGCATACTTAAATAACAAAATAATTTTAAAACATATATTAAAAGAAAAGGTTCTCAGAGATTAAAAACAAGAGTACAGACAAATTGGTAGACTATCACACTGACACACAGAAAATGCTAGTTTCTCAACTAGATCCCTTGACATTTGGGCCATCCTGTACATTGTATAATGTTTATAGCATTGCTGGTCTCTACCTACCAGATGCCAGTAACTCCTCCTAAGTCACGACAATAGAAAAAAAAGTCTCCAGGGGACCAGAGAATTGGTGCACTGGTCATGCAACTGAACTTCCATTGGAAAGGTCCTGGGTTTGCATCCTGGGCCCTCTCTGGGCACATTGTGCCCATGGTCTAGGCCAGTTGGAACTAGGATGGATTGTGGTGTGAGGACCCTGTTGCGGGTGCTCATCTCTCTGTCTCGCATTGAAGAAACACATTTTACAAAAAAAGTCCTAGTCATTGCCTCCAGACGACAGAGTCACCCATCTGAGAACCCCCTTCCCAATACCATACTCCACCTTACCCTCAAACATAGAACTTCGAGGATGACAGAGTTGTTTCAAAGTTAAATGAGACAGAACTATTAACTCTAGTTGAAGGCTCATTCCACCAGACCATACCAGAGTTTTACTTGGTATACAAATGGAAGAACATTTGAAGTATCTTTACTGACAAGAAGAGAGCCACGTCACTGAGGGCAAGGTGCACTCAGAGGTTTCCCTTCTTCCTTGGCAGTGAAGGGACAATAACTCAGCACGCATGTAGGCGGGAGATTGCTTCCAGCTACTGCCCGAATGTGGTGGAGAGGAGCAGTTTTGTGACAAGACACTACTTACTTGGTGACAGTCACAGTGATGTCTGCTGTCCTGTTTGGAAAGGCATTCTGTTCCAGCTGCCAAACTACTGACATACTTGCCTATTTTCAAGAGAAGAAAATAGTCACTAGATTCCTCTCTATACTACGTACAGTACAAACTAGCCTAGAAAACATAATTCATATTCCCCACATTTTTGTAGCACAGCTTACTTCCACATCCATGTTCATTGAAACCTGAGTCTGTAAATAAGGGGTAAGCAGGGAAGGCATGTCATTCCCCTTTGACAGTTCAGAGTTCCCTCTGCACAAAGATAATCAGTGGCAGATGAGGGCTATACCTCAGGGCTAATGAGAGTTGGTCTGATGTTCCTTCTGTGCTGCCCTCGGCTTCACTCTACATTACTGTGGTGAGCCAGCAGTTTGTCTATGGCTGTAACTGGAAAACTGTCCCCCACCCACAACAGTCCCCCAGAGTTGTGAGAAGAGCAGCCAAAATAGACTCACAGATGACTTCTTGAATATGGGGTGGCCAATCCTGCAGTTCATGATCAGGATCGAAGCAACGGGCTTGGGGTCGTCACACTGAATGTGTGGAAAGGTAGACTGTGAACACAGAAGATACTTCTTACAAAGCAAAAAAGGAGCAGATTCTTCACACCAGTTCAGCAAACATTCACTAATATTTCTACATGCCAGACACCGTGCCAGTAGCAGGGGTCACAAATACATCAGACACTGTCCCTGTCTCCTTACAAGCTGGGCAGGAGAACTCAGTAGCAGATCACTGAAGAATTTTGAGTAAAAAGCCTAAGGACTGGTTCTGTGAGAGCAATGCAGAGAATAGCAGTCAAGAAAGAGTGGAATTCAACAAGGAGGAATCTATAAAATCTTCGTGGAGGAGACATTTGATGTGAGCCTTGGACCAATGCAGTTAATGCCCCAAGACGGAACAGGTCAGCATGAGCCCTGGCACTGCCACGCTGCCTTCCTCAACCAGGGCTCATCTGGAGTACAGGATACAGAAAATAATTCCAGTGACTACTTTTTCTAATTGCCAGAGGGTGCACGCGCTCGGCAGAGAGACAGAGACAGAAAGAACAGGCATCCCCCAACAGAACAGGGTCATGCCACAATCTCTTCTGTTTCTCTATCCTGTCAGGATTTTTGCTATTCGCACACATATCTGGCATGGTTTTTTTCTTTCTTTCTTTCTTTTCTTTTTTTTTTTTTTTTGAGAGGTTTTTGCTATAGGGTGCATGCGTTCACCAGGAAGACAGAGAGAGAGACAGAAAGTAAGAAATCCTGCATAGCACACACGGAGGATGGCCACATTGCAATCCCTTTTCCTCCATTCTCCTTTCTGGATCTTGGGCACGCACACACACGTGCCCGGTGTGAGTTTAAGTCACCGGGACTCAAACCACGGTCGACTACATGGGAGTCCAACGACATAGCCATTATACCAACTGCTGGTCCCACCCGGCATGTTTTTCAAGCTGCCAGGACCAGGGTTCAAATTGTGGTCAGTCATGTGGTATCCATCTAGTTCCCTTAACCCAGCCTTCATCTTGGGATTTTTTGACTTTATGATAGTACCAAAGTGATGTACATTCAGTAGGTATATTCAGTAGACACCTTACCCCATCGTAAAATGAGAAGCATCTGTGTCTCTGGGAGTGGTTTTGTGTCTATGATCACAGCCTGAGATCGGCAAATTTTACTTCCCTAGCCCAAACGATTGGGTCATCAGGAAAGTCCTGATGCATTTTGCATAGAGAAATACGTCATGATTTTCCCAACGACCTAATCATTTTTACCTCCTCAATGCCTTAGGGCATTAGAGCTTCTTTATCTCTCAGAACCTCACTGAAGAAAGGCTGCATGAAGCCAGCAGTAATTTTGCAGCAAAATGGCACCACTGGTGGTTTTTTTTTAAAAAAGAATTATTTCATCTTATTTATTATTATTTTAAAATTTGCTATAGGGCATGTGTGCTCACCAGAGAGAGACAAAAAGAGGGAAAGTGAGAAAGCAGGTTGCCAGGGCGAGACTCAAACTGCAGTCAGCCATGTGGGAGTCCAGCACCCCAACCACCATGCCACCTGCTGGCCCCACCACTGATGGTTTTTAAGGCAGAAAATATATCCGTGGCATGTAGCTGGACTGAAGGGGATTTATCTAGTTACTAATCATTTATTGGATGGGTTTGGAGGAGGTTGGAAGCAGGGAGGCCACTTAGGTTGCCACAAACAGGCAGCTATGAGCAAGGAAAGGACAGGAATGGCATGTTTCTAAAGTTGCCCGTGTGCTTACCTTTTGTATCCTCTTAAGCTGTAAGTTCTTGGGGTAATTTAGAGTCATGCTTGTCATATAGGAATCTTCTCCAGTGTTAGTTAGGCTAATGTTCATCATCAGCTCTTTTGTGAGACCCACCACCAGCTCCTGCCTGCCCAGGGTAGAGATAAATGTTGCAAGTTTATTTCATCTCTAAAAGCTTCAGTGCACTAGAACAGCACACTTTTTTTTTTAGAGATGTTTTACTATAGGGTGCATGTGCTCACTGGAGAAACAGAGAGAGACAGAGAGACAGAAAGCGAGGGGCGATGGCCACCCTGCAATCCCTTCTCCATTCTCCTCTCGGGATCTTGGGCATGCACGCACACGCGCCCGGCGTGAGTTTTAAGCCACCGGGTCTAGGACTTGAACCACAGTTGTCCCGAACAGCACACTCAACAAATTTTTTTTCAGTAAGGTGCCTAAAGGGTACATTTAGCCCAGATTTTCTTCACTGAACAAAAGCAAACAGACTGCCAGGCCCATCTCTGACGCCACGTGAGATGCTAAGAAAGGCTACTCTTTATTTAGTGCTGACCCGGTGCCAAGGACTGTGCTTCACATGCTCGCTTTATCCTCATGCTAACCCTGTGAAATCATACAGGCACCCTCCATGGTACAGAAGAGGAAACGGAAGCCAAGAAAGGCGAAGTCATCTGCCAGAGGTTAGCAGCCTCCAAAGAGAGTGGGAGAATTAGATGTAAATCCTCTTTCTACCACCAGTTCACTGTCCCCTTGGGCAAAGTCCTCCAAGACTCAAGTCCATCCATTCCACAGATAGTCATGAGGCACCTTCTATGTGCCAGACACCCTGTCATCCCCGGACATCAGTGTGCACGAGACACACACGTCCTACCTTCCTGGGCCTCAACTTTTCCATCCACAAAATCATCCAGGGCCCTTCAGTTTAGAGGCTGTGGTTTAAGACATGAGTCTTTTTTTTTTTTTTTTTTTTTTTTGGGGGTTTTTTTCTTGACAGAGGTTTTTACTAGAGGGCATGTGGACTCTCCAGACAGACAGAGACAGAGAGACAGAAAGCAAGAAATCACCCCCGAGGGGGGATGGCCGTGCCACAATCTCTTCTCCTTTGTTCTCCTCTCAGGATCTTGGGCATGCACGCACACGCACCCAGTGTGAGTTTTAAGCCACGGGGTCCAGGACGCGAACCGTGGTCGACTACATGGGAGTCCAGCGACATAGCCATTACGCTAACTGCTTGTCCCAAGACATGAGTCTTAAGCCCAGGGAAGAGGAGGCCTGGGGAGTTTCCTTCACTGCTGAGGTATTAAGGCACCCAGATTCGAAACCATGATTGGTAGTAAAAGTCGATAGGAAATTATTTTAACAACACAGTGAACAATTTTAAAACCAGCTGAAATGTCCAAAGAGGGACTATGTGGACCTCAGAAGAAATGTGACGTCTATTTTATCTTGCTTTGCTTTGGATCACAGCTAAGGTGGGTTGATTGGAGGGAGAGACAGGAGACAGAGGCGGGTACAGCCCGCTGTGGAAATCCAGGTGAGAGGTGATCTTGGCCTGAAATAAGACAGAAGTAGCAGAGATGGAGGAAAGGGGGAGCAGTCAGAGATAGAAAGGCAAGAGGAGCATAAAAGAAGGGTGTCCAGGCTGAGTTCTGAATTTCTGGTGTGGCCTGCTGAGTGGTGCTCTACTTTGAGGGAGAGAACATAGGAGGAAGACCCGCGGGCAGGAGACGACTTCAGTCTGGGGAGAAGAGGTGCCAAGAGGATACCAAGGGAGAGGTGCTGAAATGCCAGCTAGACACACTGTTTGACAGCACAGGGGGGAGGTCAGAAGTTGTTTTTTGTTTGTTTGTTTTGTTTTGTTTTGTTTTGTTTTTTTCCCCATCAGTATTTAACAGTTTATTAACCTAAGTCCAGGGATGATTTTAGAGGGCCTAAGTGCAAACATTTACATATGTTTATGTGAACTTCTAGGGAGAGAGGCTCGTCGCTTTCATTAGATTCTTTAGGCTATTAATGCTCTTGTTCAAAAAGGTCCAAAATCACTGAGCCAGTTGGACAATTTGGGTCCTACTTCAAGAACAGAAGAGATTGCTCGCTGTGTACACTAGGGGGCGATGTAGTAAGCGGCGTGGGCTGTATGGAAGATACACAAGGAGCCGTTTGGGAGGGTATTCGTGGCTGTAATTAATTCCGTTGGAAACAGCTGCGTCTGCTTGTTAGGCTGGAATCCAAAGCACTTGAAAGTCTTGCATTGAGTGCTTAGTGGTGGGCAGCACTAAGCCATCCACATCTGAATTGCAAGTCCAACAGGGCTTGGGGAACAGATTCCAGCTCCAGCCGCCTGGCCTTCAGTATCCGGCACTGCACAGCACGAGTAGCCAAGGAGGGCTTTTTTTTTTTTTTTTTTTTTTTTTTTTTAGGGT